TCCCCTTTGGGAAAACCCAATCCATCCCCAGGGAATCTTAATACCCTGGAAGGCTATTAATACCCTGGATTGATTCCGATGGCCTGTTGAATACAAGCCTCTCAGTAAAGAACATACTGATAGAGTGAAACCTCCTCTTTACAGGACTGGTATTAATCACCCACTACCTAACACTCACCACGCTCAAAAACTTCAGTCAACTCATAGTAACAACCTTTTTACTATTAAATACTCAGGTTAGTTACCCAGAGGCTGACAACCAGATCAAGCAAAAACTTATCAAACAGAAGTACTCCACTTTTCCCACCTTTCCCACTACACAGTGTACATCATTGGTGTCATTAGTAAGTAACTTCTTATAAGTTTTAGCTAGCATCTTTCTGTTGAGGTGTCTGATAGTCTGCTACCATGATGTATCACTACATGTCGAACAATGAGCACTACCACCCAACAACCCTGGCAGTCACAAGTGTCTGTAGCCTAGTTGGTAAAGGCAGCACTCTAGTATGTGTATCAGCTTAGCTGAGGTTGTGAGTTTGACTCTCACCAGACACATCTTCATTTTGTCTGTCTCTACACTTTCTGCTTGTTCTCTTTCTCTGTCTCTCTCAAATTCTCTTCTTTCTTCATCAAACCAAAGCCCTGATCAAAGAAAAGCAAGCCATAGCTGCTATTATCTCAACTCATCCTGTTTGGTAGTTCAACTGAAAACTACATAGTTTTCCCTTTAAAGAGCCTTGATCTTTGATCTAAAAAATTGTGGTTGAACTGATTCATCAGTATCAATAACCCATTTCAGTTTCAGTTGATTTGGAGGCATAGAGTTAGCTCCGCTTATAACAGCCATCCTAAAAAGGAAAGTAAGACTGTAAGAAGCCATCCAAAAAGGATAGTAAGACTACCAGAACCTTAATTATCATCATGAAAGAAATAAAGAACAAAAATATTACCTACTTCTTTCACTCTTCTTCTTCCCTTTCTTCTACTTTTATTTCTATCCCTCTTTTCTTAAGAAATACATATAAAATCTCCCCCCAAACCTTGTGTCCTGCAGTCACTATTGAGACCCAGGCTCACAAGGTCAGCCAGGATTTTTTGGAAGTTCTCTTTTCCTCATTCTTCCACGTACTAACTGACTGGCCTAGCTAGTGAGTTGTCCCTTTCTCTCATGAGTGGTGCAATGAATCTGATCCTTCCATGTACTGGCTGACTGGCCTAGCTTCATTACAATGTACATGTGGTAGGGAGAGTTGAAATTCCAACTTGCTTGATATTATTTCACAGGGTCAGGACCCGGTGAAATATTACAAGTCTATGAAGGAGAAGAGGAGTATAAAAGTAGGTATAGGTGACTAGGGTTGAAATTAAAAGAGGAATTAATTTCTGAAGTCAGAATGTAATAAAACATTAAGATGTAAAAGCTACAGTAGGAATGTGGATGTATCAAAGGAGGACTTAGGCAGTCTTTTGGTCAGCTCGGCTGACTCTAAGGCTGGCAACCTGAGGCAGAATATGTGAAAGAAAAAACTTTCTCATCCTTCTACAAACTTCAAACCATCATCCTCTGTTCCAGAGATCTGTACTGCAGTTCCTTTTGGTTCCTCCATCTTCCTTTTCTTTCTTTTTTTCTTTCTGTTTCTCTTTTTCTCTTTCCTCCTCTCTTGTTCCCATCTGAATCTCTGTCTTTGTTATACGCTTTTCCTGTCTAAGCCATGTTTTTCCAAAAAGCCTTTATTTACAGCTAAGTTGTTTTGAGATTCATAGTGAGGAATGCTGTTGGCCAAATTTCACTTAAAAAAAATGGGATAGCCCTGGTCCTAAACCGATATACATATGGGTTTAGGACCCAGTTTGGCATGCAGGCCTGCACGCCAACTGCAGGCCAATCTACCCAGAAGCAGATCGGCGTGCATGCACCAATCTGCTGCTGGCGTGCGGGAGGGGGGTTGGCTTACGCTTATCAACTGTAGAGACAGACAAAATGAAGATGTGTCTGGTGAGAGTCGAACTCACGACCTCAGCTAAGCTGAGACCCATACTAGAGTGCTGCCTTTACCAACTAGGCTACAGACACTGCGGGTGTCAGCCACAGAGTACATGTCACAGTACCTTTCATGTACCAAGTAACTGCAACACCTGTACTTATGTACATAAGTACTTATCCATAATGTTGATTACCTTTACCTCTTGTTATCTTATCTTTATTATTAACTTATCTTATTTATCTTACAGTTATCTTATCTGTTAATTACTTATCTATTAAATACATACCTGTGTTCTACATAAGTAATTATCACTTACCTTTCACTCCCTTGTCCGTGAAATACCTGTACCACAAGTTATCCCTCTGCTACAGTATTTTCACGGTCAAATATTATTACAAATAAATATGTACATGTATTAAATAGTAAGTATTAAGTGTCAATAGAATTAATACATTCAATACATGCACTGATCACAATTATGACTACATTATTAGAGGATCTGTCAAGTGCAAGCATCAAGAGCAACTAGTACATTGATCAACTAGTACACAATTATGATGTCACTTACAGATCATGACAAATAATGATCAGTCACTCAATTGATGTGCTCATTCTCCTGGCCAAAGCTCCCTTGATTCTGAGCGCTCATTCTTTCCCCCCCCTTCAGTATTCTGGAGCTTATAATCCGTGCCTCTTTCACTGATTAATCCCCAGAATATTCAGACACCAGTTAAAACCAGTTAACATTTATATTGATACAGTACCCGTAACCAACATAAATCTTGTCTACATTTATTGTTCTTAAGCTTCAGTACTCTTACTCAACTTATCCACAGTATTCATAGCCTTGCTGAATATTCCCATCAACAATACCTGTTAATCTTCAACTAATTTTGTTAAAGCTTAATAAGTATTGTTAGCCCATTCCCTTTTGGGAATAACCAAATCAATCCCAGGTGAGTCTTAGTACCCTGGATGCCTATTAATACCTTGTATTGATCCGGATGCGCTGTTGATAGCAAGCCTCTCAGTAAAGACCATACTGATAGAGTGAAACCTCCTCTTTACAGGACTGGTATTAATCACCCACTACCTAACACTCACCACGCTCACAAACTACAGTCAACTCATAGTAACAACCTTTTTACTATTAAATACTCAGGTTAGTTACCCAGAGGCTGACAGCGGGCATCTTGGTGTCGCTGCGGGCCACCAACTAGGCTACAGACACTGCGGGCATCTTGGTGTCGCTGCGGCCCGCAGCGACATCATGACGATTCACATGAGAATTCAACTTCAGTTGCACCGACAACTGACCAGTTGCAGCAACAACTGACAAGGTGCAGCGACAACTGACAAGGTGCAGCAACAGGTGACTAGTTGAATTGGCAATCAGCCTCAACCAGCATCCACATTCCTCAAATGCATAAATATACATATTACATAGTATGCCTCTTGCATAACAAAGCAAGTCATGCACCCATCACTGGTCGGCTGACTGACAACACAGTTGGACTTAACAGAGTCTGCAAACTTTGTTAGGCAGGAATTTTTAGAGTTGAATACACAGGCTACAGTCATGATTTCTAACATTTACCTCTTGTGTGAGATCTCACTCAAGCTAATCACGTGTCTTCAATCTTGTGTACCTCTCAGCAAATCTGGCTGCAATCGAGTAGCCTTCCATTTTTTGCCAAACATATAAATATAAGCACCAATTAAATCCACCTCAAGACTCTACCCACCCCCACTCCTTCAAGAATATCCAACCGCATACATAGTGCAACCTTCCGCAATAATCATAACCCACCTAAATTTAAAGTTAGTTAACTCACATCTGTTCCACCCGCCATGGATCCTTGGGCCGCCAATACCTCTTCAACCTTGCCTACCCTCTCTGCCGAGCAGCAACATGTTGTTGATGCTACTGTGCAGGCACGAACCAATCATCTTGAGTCTCTGTTATCCCAGCTCACCAACGAAGTCCGTGCCTTGAAGACTTCCAATCCACCCCAACCCAAACCAACTAGCCAATCAAAATCAGGCAAACAGCCTTCCGGGAAAGGCAAAGCCACTACTGTCAACCATAGTAGCCAGCCAGTCAGATCTAACAACACTAACAAATCCGCCCCAGCACCACCCAAAGACTTATCGCACGCAACCCCTAAACGCGCAGCTCGTGCGGCTTCAGCACCACCCGGAGTACAGAAACCCAAATCTCAGAAGTCTGCTGCAAAAAATAAGCCCCGAGTTGAAGCGATAAAGCAATCATCCCAAAAACGGCATCCCCAGCAAATGCAAACCAGTGATTTTCCCCAGGAGTTCAAAACAACAAAGGTTCGTTTTTTCCCATCCCATCTATTTATGCTGGTTGAAGCACGATGCTCACGATTCCTTTTTAGAATGCTCTCTTTGTCCATATCAAAATCCTATGGGGGCTTTTGAGGCAAGATTCAGTTCCATCAGCTCCTGAATTGCAAACACTTCAAGAGTTCTACAACCGGTTCACCAATGGTGAAGAGGTTGAGAAAGCAGCACAAGGTAACTCATCCCCTCCACTCATCAACTCGAACGAAGTGGAACTCTTCAAAGAAGCCCGTGCAGGATCGATCAAATTTGGAAGATCGGTCATCCATGTTGGCTCAAACAACATCCGTTACGCTCAAGGCCTCATGGTACGTCTTGGCTTGCGCGTGTGGTGCCCCAATCTGGAAGAGGACGCTGCTTCACTTTATAATGCCGCCCACCGGATTGCTGCCATCACCACCTTTCAAGAACTCGTTGCCGGAAAAGCATACACGTACATGAATGTGAACCCCATGATGGCCACCAATTCTTCACTTTTGATTCAAGCCTACAATCACTTTGTACATTATGTTCTCCATTCGAAATACCAAAAGGAAAAAAAAACAGAAGGGCAAGATTGCGGAAGAAGCAAGTAACAAGAAGTATTCAAAGAGCTGAGAGAGGGTGAGTTTTTTTCTTGGTATATTTAGTTATTTTCTTTGCTGATGCTTTGTTCACATACAGTTACGAGACGCCCGAAAGGAGTTTGCAATTCTTAATCGATTTCCCCAACGCTATATCGATGTTCTTTCACAAATTGGTGCCCACAGCGACGACGAGTTCGATGAAAAGAAGGGATTCTCCAAAATCAAAACATTGCCTTACCGCTCAAAGAACGCCAGCAAGTTTATGCGCGCACTTGATATTGTCATGAAGAAGGCCGCCGAACAAGATCCATCGTCCAGCAGAAAACGCCGAATTTGCAAATTGCCCAAACAACCTGTCCTTTCTAGTTACACAACGGCCCCAAAAGGTTTACCAATCGACTTCTACGACCCATCCTGGTACCATCAATTAGTACCGGCGCAACAAAAGACCATCCCCAACACTCAAGCCGTCGCATTCCTTCCTGATGCCAGTCAATCCTTAGGCCCTAAAAAACAAAGACACCCCGATGAGAAGCTAAAAGACTCGTCATTCACCCACAAGTACTGGGAGATAATGGTTGAGCCGTATGGGCTCTTGGGAGAGGATTCTTCGGACGAGGATTCAGATGTAGAAGAGGAAAGACAGGTTCAAGGCACTAGGAATGCAGCAAACAACTCTGATGACGATGAAGGTCACGACTTGGGTGCCACAAGCCCAGACGAATCACCGGATGAGTTTTTGAGGAAGGAGATGCTGGGGATTTATACAATGACGACTTTGTGGTGAACAATGGCGAGAATAGCAAAGAGGAATCTAGCGGTGATGAGACTGACAATGAAGATGAAGAATACAATGACACCAATGAAAATGCTGATAATGTGACAATGGGGGAGCCATCTTGTGGTGTGGATGCAAGGATGCTGGGGATCATGGAGGCTGAGGAGGAAGGTTGGTGATTACAGTCAATCCAACCGAAGCGGCTTTGGTCCTAGGAACAACAAAGACTGTTTCCTTTTTTTTCTCTCACTCTCATACGTTGGGTGTTCAACTTTCATTCAAGACTCTTGTACATAACCAAGCAGCCCATTTCTCTTTTTATGACTTGTAAATAGCAAAACAACTTATATGAAAATCTTTTCTGAATAGTTTTATTAGCATTGTAAATAGCAAAACAGCTCATGACTTGTAAATAGCAAAACAACTTATAAAAAATCCTTTTCTGAATAGTTTTCTTAGCGTTGTAAATAGCAAAACAGCTCTCGACTCTTGAAAATACACAGCCATCTGCTTTCTAAGCTTTGTAAATAGCAAGACGGTTTTATTCCTGGCCATGTAAATAGCAAAACAACTCATACAAAGAAAAAAGAAAAACTCAATGTGCCCGTGCCATGTCTTCAAAAGCTAGTGTGATTTGCTATTAAAGGTGGACTACTTTTATGCAATGCAGGATAAGGAAAAAAGTGGTACACATCGGAAATGAAATGAGGAAAGGGAAAAAAAAGGAGAAGCAAAGTGAAAAGAATTTTAGGGATTGTCGGAGATGTCAAGCAGAGCCACATGACCATGTGGTACAAGAGTGATTCCGTCCTGTTGAATTCCAAAAACCTTTGGTGGCAGATAACGATATGCAGCCAAAGAGACCACATCTGATTGAGAAATTACAAGCGCCTTTGAGTGGTCAACTCGACCAACCACTGTTTTGAAAAGATAGAGATAGTATCTGAATCGACTAGTTGGAACCTTGAACTTCTTGGGGAACAAGTTGGTAATTGGGGACAATACAATTAATTCTCGTCCCTGGTCCCTGTGGTCCTCCAATGCGTATATCTGCTTCACCATCCCATACTGTACCTGGCCATTAATTTTGGCAACCACACAGTTCTGTGGCTTCAATGTGCCAACCAAGAAGCCGTTACATCTAATAGATCGAAGTGGTTTTGCCAACCCATGCAGTACTTTCCGCCCCTTGGGGATTGGGCAGGTATCCCTCCGACATATGGCCAATGGATCCTCTCGAGCAAGATACTGAAAGATTTCTTCATACATTTCGTTAGTCAAGCTGATTTTTTTTAGATCAGACCTTATCTCTTCTTTTGGTTTGTCCTCTTGCATCATAGCCTGATATTCCTCTTTCTCCATCAGGTGTTGCAATTGGCAAGCGCGTCACATCATTGTTCCATTCATTTTGTCTAGTTATGTTTCAAAAACTTCAGCAGCTGTTACACGAAATTAGAAATCAAATTAGATGATATACACACCAATGAGATTGTTGGTCTTGATTTTCTGCAAGAACCCAATAAGCCGTTCGCCAGCAAATTCGGCCACCCTAGACAAAGGCCCCCACAATCGCATTTGTTCTGGAATGTGCAATGCACAATGATGATTCGGTTGGACTTTGACATTTGCAAAGAGACCACCAACTGTTTCGCTGTACTTGTTATAGTTTTCCTCGAATTGTGTAATCTGGTTGTTGGTTACTTCACGTGCAAATAAGATGTGGGTACATTGCATCAAATATGCAGTGTTCATAATGAACCAAGCCCGATTTGAGTTGGGATCGATATTTCGAATATCATCGAGATAGAGCTCAAAGATGATCAGCGGCATAATGCAAGCAAACAGGGTGTACCATTGGGACGCTTTCAATTTCCCATGTCGTTCCTCGCCAAGGTTTGGAGGGAGAGTTGAAAGACCCGGAGGAAGGACTACCTGTCGCATTGCAGTGCGGAAATTCAGGATGTCGTCTTGTGAAAAGAATCCACCTTCGTCTCCACCATCCATCAGGATATCTGGGGCCTCATCGCTTTCCTCCTAAGACAAGATGGTTGAATCAGACATTGACATCATTGAATCATCAAGTGTTACCCTTTGTCGCTTATTAGTTGGGAAGCTTGTATGAGTGCGGCGCCTTTTTTGAGATTTGGATTGAGTTATTGCAAGAAATTTCCATCGATAGCGCCAGTGGGTCTGCAGCACCCCTTCAAGCCAGTTATGCATTATTCCGAGAACAATGTGCTTAGTTGGATTCCAATACCTGAGACGGTTGAGTTCGGACCAGCGGACACCAGTCTGCTTAAGGATTGTGTCTTGAGCAGCGGTTGATTTGGCATCTCTAGATTTACGTGACGCTCTGATTGTTTTGCCTTTTCTTCTGATTGCTGCAATTTGCAACTTTTCAAGAGTGTCGTGCTTTGCGTGGCACCACGTACAAAAGGAGGTGGCATTTGGCGAGGCAAAACCGGCAACTTTCTTGGTTTTGGGGGACGATCTCCAATCAAACAGAGAAGTCGGACCCGGACCAGTCAACCTCCTGGGTATTGATGTGTCTTGATCATTGTGCCGGTCTCTAGAGTCCTTAGCTCGTCTACAATTGGCTTGAGAAGGTGATTTATAGTGCTTGTGTCTGGCAAATATGGCCCAGGGGTGATCCGTGCTAGGCATATATTTGAGATCTTGTTGCGTAGGAATGGCGGAAGATTCATACAAGTAAGAGCAAAGACCCCGGTAGATTCGACTTTCCCACTAATCCTGTCTCCTCGGGGATTAAACCAGTCGACAAAAAGAGAAAGGATCAAGTTGAGTGGTGGGATGTTGTTGAGAGAAGATGCTGTGTCATCCGAGGCAGAGTCTTCAGAAGGAGTTGGTGAGAGCTCCCATTCTACATTTCGATAGATTGAGCCATGTTGTACGTCCACAAGAGCACCATCAGATCTCAAGATTTCATCTTTCCAAGCGTTGATTGCGGTTTTGATATCAGGTTTCTTCAAAAGCCAGTTGAGCCAAACCGATATAGGCTGGGAAACAAAGAGGCATCAAGGTACTCGAACGGTTGAGGGGTAAAGATGTTTTGGGTTTGGGAATCGTCCAAGGTCTTTGAATCCACTTTGAGTTCTGATTTGTTTGTAGAGTTCTTCGTTACACCGTTGTGAGTGGGCAAAAGGTGCATATTCACAGAGCAATGGTGTATTGGTGTTGTTGGGATAGAGGTGAAAACAAGCCCCACAGCATATACTCTCAACAAGCTCAATTTCTAGATTGGCCTTTGAAATCAAAGTTCGAGGGTCACGCGGCATCTTCAGAAGGCTTTGGTTGGAAGTTCGTTGTCTGATTGTTTCCTTAAGTATGTTGAAAAGAGCAGTAATGGCGGTGCGGCAGTTTTCACGGCTAACATCAACTAATGAACATTATAATGAAGACTTAACCATGGATGTCAGCGGGACAATCAAAATAAATGAGATAGATGAAAAACTCACATAGATGAAAGTTGTGTTCATTCTGATCGAGTCCTTCAAACACCCTGCTTTCTTCCGAGTATCCACTAGATTCCGTTATTTCCACAGATGGACTATCAGATTGGGGATCAGGTTGGTTGGAAGTGTGATGTTTGACTTCAGCAAAGCGTTTGTAATCCTCGGAGAGATGTTTAGCAATATTTCGAGTGGTTAGATATTTTCCAGAAATTGGCTGTCCCTCGTCATTCAAAATTGTGTTGATAATGCATCGAGAGCAGATACAAACTTCCATGAAGACTTGATGACTAGGTGTTGATGATCAGGTCAGAGAGAGAAGATTTCAGCATGCCAGAGAATGTAGCGGAAAAAAGGTGAGAGTAAATAAGAATAAGGGGATGATGGGAATTTTAATTGGTCAAGAGCTATATGATGTCAGCGAGCCAAGGGTAGCTGGGTACAAATGATGCTCGTTCCAACAGCCACCCCTGAGAAATTTCAAGCAAAGATGAGGGAGAATGAAAATGAAATCTAGTATACTTTTGGGAGTCCGATCTGGTTGTTGGATCAAGAGAGCAATCAACTGAGGAGGGATGGTCGTCCGATTAGGTGAGGATGTTGTTGCAAGGTGATAATACGATATGTAGTGTCGTTGCAGGGAGCTGGTGTCGTTGCATACTCAAATCTGAAGTGTCCCGCGGGAACCTGAAATTGGTCTGAATCGTCATGATGTTGCTGCGGCCCGCAGCGACACCGAGATGCCCGCAGTGAGACGCTTGTGACTTCCAGGGTTGTTGGGTGGTAGTGCCCATGGTTCGACATGTAGTGATACATCATGGTAGCCGACTATCAGACACCTCAACATCAACCCCCCTTTCCCTGAGATTCATCCACCAGAAAACAATTACCATAAAAAACCAAGTACCTTTCTAGTAAATAATAAAATATTCTAAGTTTTCTTCTGTTGATGGGTAGTTGGGCTTTTAGATTGCAGGTTTTTACCTCCAAGACTAATTTGAAACCTTAAAAACAATTAAATAGTGTAATCATCTCCTGTTCTGGATATGAGAAAGTTTAACAGTAGGGTGTATCAAATATAGGAAATCCCCCATTAGAAACCAGTCAATTTTCCCAAAACCTTTTTTTGCATCAATGGGACCCCAAGGGGGTTAAATGAAGAACCAACATGTTGAAAAACGGTGGATGTTTTCAAACCAGTCAATTAAATGATGGTGGATTTGGTTATATTTGATACCCTCTAGTTCATAAAAATTTATTTTACGGCTACTTGGAATGTAAATTCTCATTGTTGGTTGATGTGGTTTCCTCACTTGATAAATGAGCTGGCACTGGAGGGGTCATGAAAGAAAATGGCTTTGACTCAATAGTTTTTATTCAAAGAGGAGAGGACATCTTAGATACTGGCTCAAAACCATACATGTGATGGAGCACAAAAATGAACTTGGACAGGTCAAGAGGAGAGGAGAGGGAGGTAAAGGAAATATGACAGGAATTGGTTATTTAAGAAAGGGAGAGGACTAAATGGCCATTATCCTGGAAGACAAATTTTGAGTGGAAGGGGGATAGGAAAAAATTGGAAGAAAGAATCAAGTAAAAATTCTTAACCTGAAACAATGTGGAGGAAATCACATCATATTTATGCAGGAACAAAATTTACCACAAAAAGGAGGGAAGAAAAATGAAAAAAAAATCATTTGCCCAAATGAGGCCTATTTCAAAAAATAATAATCTTAGCCCAAAAAATAAATATGACTAGAGTGAAAAAGACATAGAAGGAAATATATAAAAAGTTAGATTTGATGATCTCAAATATGGTGCAGCTATGTAGAATAGGAATGGAATGAGAATCTAGATTGATGTAGATTTTTTTGTTGAATCCAGGTGAGTGGCCTTTTTTTATTCTTGAGCATCTTGTTTATATTCTTGAGGGGACTTCTTATTCAAGATTTACTTCTCAGAAAATAAATGTTTATTACTGAAACTATTGCTTGTCTTCCAAAAAGATTGGTTTTGCATTCCAGAATAATTTCTTGTCTGATTCATATTTAGTCTTAATCACTGTCACTTGAACTTGAATCATTTTTTTGATGAGCGTCATTATATTCATGTTGCCTATCACATATTGTACAAGCTCCACATATTTCACAGTGATTGCGCCCTGGATGCCCACATTCACCAAGTTCTTGACTACTATGATATTTTAGACTATCTAATTCCCTTGTGGACCCATTAGTAATTATTTCACATGTATGGACATTTTCAAAAATATTTCCTAAATAAATCATAAAGATGAATGATGAGAATTTTATTAAATTCATTCTGTCTGAGTAGTTTCTAAGATAATAAAAAGTATATGAATGGCTGTTTAGTTTATTGTTTTATTCAATCTATGAGGAATGAATAAAAAAACAACTGTAAGGATAGCCTCCTTATATGGACAAATTGGAAAGATTTTGGCTCCAGGGAATCCTTCAATCCATGGTTTGTCACATTTTTCTATTATGTAAAGGCAAATGGGGTGTTTCAAATGGGCATAGAATCTAATTGAAGTATATATTTTAGCAAGGCTGTGCAAAACAGGTGGGTTAAGAGGCTGTGTGAAACAGGTGGGGTAAGAGGCTGTGTGAAACAGGTGGGGGAAGAGGCTGTGTGAAACAGGTGGGGTAAGAGGCTGTGTGAAACAGGTGGGGTAAGATGCTGTGTGAAACAGGTGGGGAAATGTCATATGATGTGATACTACTCAATAGAGTGGTTTTGAAAAATGAAACAAATGTGGTGAAACAATGAATTCATAAGGGGGAATTTCATATGATGTGACAAAACATAATGGGGTGGGTTTTGAAAATGACAGAATGTGACAAAAGGATTAAAATTGAACTTAAAACTCATGCATAAATAACAGTAAACAAAAATGAAAGAAGACTGTACAATGCTTGGTGGAGATGTACAGAAATGTGGAAACTTGTCAAATTATGTAATAATAAATGTTATGGTGGTGTTAGAAAATGAAATAATTTGGCAAGGGAATGAAACTTGGACTTTACAAGTTATTCAAAGATAATATTAAAAGAAAATGTAAGAAAACTCACAATTAATCAGAGCAATACAGATATAGAAACATATGTATATCACTGGTGCTGTGTATAATCATGATGATGAAAGGTGGCTTGAAACATGTTTTGATATCATAAATGAGGTCACCTGGCATCTATTGATCATTTGTTTTTACTGGTGTGGTGCCTCTTGACAGGCAATAACTCAAACAAATTAATAAACAGGGGGAGTGATAACCACGCTCCTGCCCCCCCCCTTTGCCCACTCTTGAGCAAGTGGTATAAAAGAGGTTTCAAAAAATGATTCTGAAAACAAAAGTATGAAAAACCAATTTTCAAAATTTTCAAAAAAAAATTACAATTATTGCACTTTTTTAAAAAGTCTTAATATTATGGAGGTACTGAACAGCCACTTTGGCCAAAAAAAGTGAAAAATGAAAAACCCAATTTTCAAACAAATATGAGTGATTCCAACCACCAAGTTGACCAAGTGGATCTGACATGTATGTCATACACCCTGACAATACATCTCAAACATTCCAATACATACAAACTATGTGATAAGCTCCCTGGAGCAAAAGTACCTACCATCCTCAACGCATAACACATACACCACAGCTCTTTGACCGATGATTCAGCTGGCAACCGAGCTCAAGAAACACTCTTCTCACTAACTGCTGACCCTTACCAGACCAACCACTTGACACTCACCAACCACTCGACACACACCAACCACTCAACACCACCCCACCAGATCTTACTACATACACCAACCATCCATCATGTGTGCCTCAATGCGATCTTTTGGTGATGATTTCAAGGCTGAGGTTTCTCTTCTAGTTGAATCTGGCCTGACAGACGCTGAAATCCGCAAACATATTCAAGACACGCACGGCATATCCGTCTCTAAACGAACACTCACACGAAGGAAGGAAGATTGGGGACTTATACTTCAATCCACTGAACATTCCAATCAGCTTGAAGACCACATCCAAACCTACTTTGAACGTGGATTGTCATATTCACAAATCCACCATGCTCTAACAACAAGTCACGACTATACTCAATCTTTTCGAACGCTCGAAAGGAAGAACAAATCCATGAACCTGACACGGCAAACTGAAGATTTGGAAAACAACAAGGTTGACATTGATAAGATTGTCTCTTGCATTCAGGAAATTCATCAAACCCCTGAAGGCCGGAACGTTGGTTACCGAAAGATGCGACAATTGTTACAGACGAAATATGGGTTCAACATTCATAAGTGTGTTATGTCTTCTCTGTTATTATAATCCCATGGAATTATTTCTGATAATTCTTTGTTTGGAATGAAGTCTCACAGTTGCATTGATCAACCGTACCCTTGATCCTGAAGGTGTTGATAACCAATCAAAAAGGGTTTTGAAGCGTCGCGTGTTCAACACCCCCGGCCCGAACTTCATTTGGTCTGCCGATGGCCACAACAAACTCAAGAAGTTTGGGATCACTCTCTATGGTTTTATCGATGCTTGGAGCCGGAAGATTTTGGGAATCTTTGTTCATGTCACCAACAAAAACCCCCAACACATTGGATACTACTATCCCGAGCTTGTCAAACGTGAAGGTGGCATACCTTGCCAAACATCTACTGACAGGGGAACCGAAACAATCCACATGGCTGGCCACCAGATCAACCTCACCAAATCGTTCAATGCAGACTGCCCAGATCCGGTTCAGTCTCACCTGTTCACCAAGAGCACTCACAATCAGAAGATTGAGTGTCTATGGTCGCAGTTAATGAAGCAATACAACAGCGAGCTAATAAACCAACTCTTTTGGGCGGAGGAGGAATCGTACTATGATCCACAAGATCCTGTTGAGCAGTAAGTTTATTTATCCACAGCTTCTCTGGTTTGGTAATAAACTGACTAACATCGCTGTAAGACTCAAAAGTGGTTGTGAGAACCCTTTTGCTGAATGTTGAAGGGTATGGTGGAGTTGCAAGCTCTGCCCTTCTGTACTATCAGATAACAAGACCCATCAAGCTCAGCTTGGCAAGTTTTAATCAAGTGATAGGGGTGGTTGGTTCGAGAATAAGTTGTTTGATCGCAATATAATTGTATGAGAGAAGAGGTTTTGAGAGTATGAGAGTGAGTTTAGTGTGTATTACAAGTGTAAGGGTTGTTATAGGGTGTTTGTAAGGGTTGTTACAGTATGTAATGTTAATGGTATGGTATGTAATGGTAGGGGGTATGTTATTTGTGGGTCCTAAACTGAGGGGAAAAACAACTGGGAGGAGAGCCTCCTTAAATACACAAAGGTGAGGGATTTTAGCTGCAGGGGAACAAGAGAATGAGAGATTTTAGCTGGCCAGAGCTTTACAATGAGGGGATTTAGCTAGTCAGGACATGTACATGAGGTATTTTGGCTGGTTGAGCAACCTACATGATGTCATAAGAGTCATTTTAGCCTGAAATAGAAGTCTACATGAGGGTTTTATGCTGGTGTAGCATGCTACATGAGGTGATTGTAGTAGTCTGCAAACTAAGATGGGGTGATGAAGATTACATGAGTGGTGTGAGATAGTTTGACAGCTGCAAGGAAGAATAACAAATGACATGACAGCCTGCATGATGTCACTTGTAAATCCAGAGTGGTACTACACTAACACTGCATGTGTCAATATGTCAGAAGATGGTGGAGTGGTGTGTATACTTATTTACTATGCTGGTGAGAGAGTGTAGTTGTCCTGCAATGTG